CATCTTAGCTGTGGAGGGCAGTGTCACTGGCCCTCATATGTGGGATCCGAACTGGGGCCCTCTGGCGTCCCAAGCCAGTTCTTAACCATTGCGCCACTTAGCCGGCCCTAGAAATATTTTTTAAAACCTCATTGAGTCGAAGCCATAGCTTTTCTTTTACCTAAGCTTACAGCGTCTCCCACTCCTGCCCAGGAGCACGGATCCCTTGCTGCCACTTGGTCCCTTTGGGCCAGAGCTCCTTTACCTAAAGAGAGCGCTCTATCTTTTACCCCAGATTTGGAAAGAATAACCAATTCCATCCTTTAGGTTAGATGGCTTTGTGACCCTATAAATACATTGCGATCATATTGGTTTATTTTGGTTGTAGAAAAAAGAATTTTTAAAGTCCCTTTGTTTTGGGAGTGCTAGCAGATTAACCATTTATGTGTAAATACTCCTTATAAAACAGGCACCATGCGGGCCGTGCGGAGACACCTGTTCCCCCAGCATTCAGCCCCTGGCCAAGGCATTGTCTGGGAGTGGCTGAGTGATGATGGCTCCTGGACAGCCTATGAAGCCAGCGTCTGTGACTATCTGGAGCAGCAGGTGGCCAGGGGCAACCAACTCGTGGACTTGGCACCGCTGGGGTACAACTACACTATCAACTATGCCACCCATATGCAGACCAACAAGACTTCGCTTTTCTGCCGTAGTGTGCGGCGCCAAGCAGGACCCCCTTACCCGGTGACCACCATCATTGCTCCACTGGGCCACACTGGAGTCGCCTGCTCTTGCCATCAGTGCCTCAGCGGCGGCGGAACTGGCCCCGTGTCAGGCCGCTACCGCCACTCCATGACCAGCCTCCCCGCGTACCCTGCCCCCCAGCCCCCCAACAGGACCGCCATTGTCTTTGGGGCACACCAGGCCTTTGCCCCATACAACAAGCCCTCGCTGTCTGGGGCTAGGTCTGCGCCCAGGCTGAACACCACCAACCCCTGGGGTGGGGCGCCACCCTCCCTGGGGAACCAGCCCCTTTACTGCTTCAGCCTCTCCCACCTGGGACCACAGCACCAGCCCCCAGGATCATCCACTGCCAGTGGAGCCAGGTATCTTGTGTTATTGAGGATCACTTTGTCCATCTATGTGCCTTGTCAGCAGACTTGGGTGTTGCTTTTACTTAGTTGGGAAAACTCACCCCAGTACCTGCAGACCTGGCACCTGCTACCTTGGTTGTCCCTGCTATGTTGTCGCCTTTGCGTGTGCCATGTGGTGCCACAGCCGCCCACAGCCTTGCATCCCACAGAGCCCACCTGACCTCTGGGATGTGAGTGCTGGTAGTTGCCACATGGGTTAATACCCATAATCTCTCTATTCACTCGGGAGAATCGGGCTTTCTGTGTAGAGCAGTTAACCACCTCTGGCTGGGCCCGTCTGCCACATAGCTGGTGCCATGTGCCTGACATTTCACTGACTCCTGTGTGCTAGGCATAGAGGACACAGCAGGAAAGGTTCAGTCCCCTCCCTAAGCCCACAGTCTTGTCCAAGGAAAGCTTGTCAGCTCAGTTTCGATGCTTAAATGTTGGTTGAGGAGAGAGTGAAATGTTGAGTGTGGGAGTGGTGGCAGCAGGTGACGTAGAACGGCTCCTATGCTGATGCAGTCCAGCGTCTAACAGAGCTCTCTGCACCTTGAGAAAGGTGATGGGATAGGCCCCATTCAGACCACGTGGCACTTCAAAGTGAGAAAAGCTCCCAGAGTGGCCCAGTGTGGGGAGGGGGAACGATGCATGGAGACCTGGCGCTGACGAGTGCCAGTGCCTCGTCATTGGTTATTATTGAGTGTTGGGTTTGGAGAACATTTTGAGAATTCAGAGTGGTAGTCGGGATGGGGGCTGATTTCTGAGAGAGGGTGACCTGGGCAGGTAGTGACTGGAGGTATGGGCCCACGGCTGCCCTGTCTCCCAGGGAGTCAGCATCTTGTTGATTTGCTCTGACATCAGCCAGTTAGCATCTTGGTACTGCCTTGCTCACCCAGCCCCATCCCTGCCCACTTGACCATGATGAGGGTTGACACTTCCTGGTGTGGCCAAGACCTCAGCAGCTTCTTGGGCCTCTCGAGTTTTTCCAAGCTAGGTTTCAGAGGACCCTGCCAGCTTTGATAAGACACAGTGACAACTGCCATTCGCTGAGCACACATTGTTGCTGGCCCTGTTGAGCAGGCCGTGTGAGTGATTGCATGAATCCTCATAATGGCCATATGGTGGATGGTGCTTACAGGTAAGGTGCTTACAGGTAAACTGAGGAGTTTATAGACAAGCACACTGAGACTGACGAGATTGGCAAGCACAGCCAGCAAATGCAGAGCTGCGATTAAACCCAGGCCCCAGAGTGGGCATGTGGGACACACGTGGAGTTCTGAAAGCTCTCTTAAAGACAGGATGAGGGCCGGCCGAGTGGCTCAGTTGGTTAAGAGCTTGCTCAAGAGTGCAAACTCTGAGCAACAGGGTCGCTGTTCAATTCCCAGCCTGAGCTGAGCTGCTGCTGAGCTACTAACAGGTGGCAGGATGGCTCAGCTAAAAAAAAAAAGGCGGAATGAGAGGAAGGCAGGAGGCATCCTGAGGGAAGAGTGCAGAGGAGTCTGGCAGACAGAGAAGAGAGATGGGCCTGGATGGCTCAGGGCATCTCCTTCCTAGAGTTGGGGCATATGGATCTGAGATCCTTCTGGGAATGGGAGGTTTCACTTGGGCCTTCTCTGTGGACTTTCACATAGAAATAAGCAAGCAGGACTGTGTGCTGGCCCAGTCCCACCCAGTGCCTGGTGAGGGCAGTCTCAGAGAAAAGTGTGCTGTGTCTGCCAGCCCAGAATGATTATCAGCAGGGCTGGAGCTACTAGGTCAGCTTCACCTAGCCTCCTGGGGCTTCTTAAGTTCTTCCAAATTACTTTGAGACAAATTTCTAGATGATTCTAGAGCTGGGGTTCTGGGATTAAGCCAGGTGACTTAATAGGCTTGGTTGCTTTCTCCCAGTGTGGGCTCCCACTGGTCACCCCTCCCCTGCCTGAGGGCCCAAGAGACTGTTGTTATGGGCCCTACTGGTACAGGCCAGGCAAGTTACTGAAGGAAGCAGCTGGGCCAGACGGTCTTACCTTTGCTGCTGGGCCACGCGTATTGCTGCTTGCCCTGCATTGTAAGCCAGGAGGGAACCAGGCCAGCCGGCTCTGTTAGTTGAAACAGCCTCAAAGGGACCTGCCTCCCAAAGTGGATGTTCATCTTTATCTCCTACAGCTTTTGGGGAGCTGGGAGGGGTGTACTTCACTTGCATGAGCCTAACCCTGCTTTGAAAAACAAGGTTTTCCTGTATCTAATTTGTCATGGGGCCTCTTCAGTTACCCCTTCCCTGATGGGTCTTGTAGAGTTAGAGGGGGGCATCATAAATAGCTGACCTCTTAAACCCCGCAGGGCTGGGAGGATTAAAAACACTGGGCAACTTGGTCTCTCCTAGAGGCTGTGGTCTAGTTCTCAAAGGCAAATGAATGTCAACAGCATTAGGTGAACGTTACCATGCGTATGGAGGAGAGGAGGAAGCAGCAGGGCAGGCACTGCCATGGGTTAGGGGAGCCTGAGAACCGGCTGTGTTTACTGGCAGCCACTGGAAAGAACACACGGGAGAGAGTTAAACTTTGTGGAAGCCATGTGGTTTCACATCACTTCTTGCTCAATCTAAGTGAAACCTTGGCTGACTGATTTTCTTGTGCCCGGGGAGGCTTTCTGAGTAGGCAGTAATACACGGAGAAGGTGCATCATTTGTCACTGAGCTGCTGGATTTAAGTAAATTTCCTGGTAGCTGAAGTTTATCCCTTTAAGCACAAAAACTTGTGTTTTAATGATGTTGGGTGGAAAACTTTCCAAAATGTGTCATGCACACTCTTGTCTTCTTTAATAGAGGGTGTGCCGGCTTGTTGAGCACTTTAATGACTTGGGATGGCGATTATGACCAGCAGTCTATTGCAGTTCTGGTGTGGCTAAGACTCATAGTGCTTTGTCCCTGTACTAAATGGCCCTAGAGAGTGGCTCTCCCAGCTTGCTTGCATTTGCTCTGTTCTCACTGCCATTCTCCCTCTAAAGGCACCCCACTCCCTCCTGCTGTCAGCCAGGCTCTTTGGGCTTGCTTGATTTAGAGTCCTGGGTCCCAGGTGGGGCTTTCTACCTAACTCGCTGCAGGCCTCTGGGTCAGCTCTGTTGCCTTTCCAGGTCTTCTCTCTTTTCCCCTCTTAAGATTAAGGAGTTGGGCTGGTCAGTTTCTGAAGTTTGCTTTTGCCCTGATACTGCTGTGGGTCTCAGGGTTTAGTGACAGCCCTGAAGGAAGTTGCCTGGCAGCCCTTCAGCTTTCCTGTACCCAGTTTATTCATCTGAGGCCTGGGGAACAATGGGCATTTCTATGAACAATGGTAGCCTCACAGCGGCCCTCACAACACATCTTACAGATAGAGAAACTGAAGCTCATAAGGGGACTCAACATGCCCGAGAGCAGACAGCTTTAAGCAGGATCAGGCACTGGAAGTGGGGTGTCCAGACTCCACATCTGATGCTTCTTGTACTGCCCAAGTTGCTGGAGGTCCCCCGGTTGGTGCTGGCTTGCTGGCCTGTGGGGAGCTGGAGGGGGTCCTTGCATTTCCTTACTCTCCAGCCTCCTAGCACTGCCCCTTGCCTGAGACTGTCAAATCTTGTCTGTGTAGAAGACTAGAAGTCCTCATGTCTCATGTTCTCGCCTCCATTTGGAAGCTCCTGGAGATGGTCCCAGACAGGAAGACCAGTTAGGGCCTAGTAGATAGACCCAGAAACCGAGGTGTCGGGGAGGGAGGCCTGAGGCAGTGTCTGAGGAAGTTCTCAGAAGGGCACTTCATGGAGCAAATGGTGCCCACATTGAGAACATTCTGCTCGTCTGAGCTCTTTGAGGATGGTGGAGGGGGACCGGTGACCTCCAGGGCTCTGTCCACCCCTGAGAATCCCCATCTTGGGAACCACTGGATCCTTTTTCTGCTTCATCCCCTCTGATAACCACAGGAAAATGGGTAGGAGCTGGATAAGTCATAGGGGAAGTGGACATATCAGGAGACCCCTATGCAAATAGAACTTAGTCACGGTTCCTGGTCCCAGTTCTGGGGAGAGCTGCCCACTGGAAGCTTCACCGCATGTCTCTTTTCTGCTTGAGTTCTTGAGGGTGAAACCTAAAACTAGGCCTTCTCTCTAGATATATGCCTCTCCCTGGTGAAGGAAGACCCCACTTCCTGTAGCCCGTCTGGGCCAGTGGTACCGAGCCCACTGAGTAGCCCACTAATTCTGAGCTGTTGTGGAGCCAAGCTTCTGCCTTCCAGCTTCCTAGCTAAGGGCCCAAGCTCAGTGTTCCCTGGAAAGTTGGCTTGGGAGATGGAAGATACCTGGAAGGGCTATAATTCCTTCACTTATAAAACCTGAGAATTGTAAAGACCATCAGAGACTTATCTACCTTTCTTTAAAAAAAAAAATGGAGGAAGAGGCTCAGAAAATGGGATAGGGGTGGAGCTTGTTCCAAATTAAACAGAGTTTAGTGGGCCAAAACCTTAGCCCAGGTGTCCTGACTGCCCATCCCTTCTTCCGTTGCATAATCAGAGCTCTCCAAGCCCAGTTCCATCGTTCCCTTAGGGTTGAGAGTAGATGAGGGCAAGAAGCTGCTAATTGAGTAGCATGGCTACACAGGCTGTTCTGTTTGGGGAAAACAATCCAGAAATGAAAATAGTCTCTTCATTCAGACAGATACCATGGCACCTCCTGTGCTCCAGACCCTGTGTGAGACCCTGACGGCTTCAGCACCAGCTGAGTATGAGGTTTTGTGGTTTGGAGCAGGACTAGTTAACTCCCTGTAGTTTCCACCAACAGGACCTGTGACCCATGGCAGGTGGTGAGGAAGGATCTGGGGCAGCTTCTGGAAGCATTGGCCATAACCAGGCAAGTTGTTGGTTGCTGGCAGCTGTGAGGGTAGTACATTGAACTGGAGCCGTCCATCGATTCGTGAACACCATCCCAGTTCCCGGTTCCTGGCTGGGCTCAGTAGAACAGAGATGAATGTGCCCAGGCCCTGTCCTTGGGGAACTTCAGTGCATGGCCTACGTGGAAGGGCTTCGTAACTCTTCCTGTTTCATCCCCTTTAACATGAGCAGGGATGGATGGAAGGACTCAGGAATCGGGAGGGGAGGAGCGAGTTGGCAGGCATCTCGGGCCGTCTGCACCATCTGTTCTCCAGCGAAGGACTCCCCCCAACCGTAATGGCATGGGTTTATTATCATTAAAAAATATGACCTGAAACCAAATGAGTGACTTGAAAGGAGTTACTGTGAGAAGCAAGTCGTTCTTTTTTTTTTTTTTTTTTTTTTAANGCTCCTTGTTCACATGTTGTAGACCCATTGCCTGGTAAACAGGCTCATTGTAGTCTGCCACCTGTTGATCCCTTCCCAGGCCTCTCCTCTGGCTCATCTAAGCTGCTTTCAGATGACACCTCTAGGTCTTTGCTCATCAAGTGCCTTATTCCAGGCGGGGCCCTTCCCGTTGTTACCTGTGGACTTCCTTCATGAGGCCTTTTAAATTCTTCCCTGGTACTTCTAAGTGGAGGTTACCTCTTCCTCCTCTTCCCTCTGCTGCGTTTGTTTCTTTCATCCTATCAGTCTCGTTTTAGTGCATTGATGCGTCTTGGTGTCTCCTCCTGTAGTCAGGACCTGCCTTCATCCCACCGAGGGCTGGTCCAGGTAGGTCCCTCAAGGCAGCGGAGGCTGTTTGGAGCCAGCCCTGGCCTGGGGTGACTGAAGTCATGGGGGGACCTGCAGCCCACAGAGCATGCCTTGAAGCTGACATTGGCCTTGCTTTTGACCCAAGCAGTTCCCCAGCTATAGACAGAGCTTGCAGGGAGGAGGGGAGAACTTCTCCTGTTCTAAAGCTTTTCCTTTGGGTGGAAGCTGGAAGAGAAGTGAAGGTGGTTGTGGAGGCCTGCTCTTTCAGGCTGTGAGGATTTCAAAGTGCTTTCTGATTTGTTCCTGATCCCTGGTCTTGCTCAGCCTCTTTGACAGGACAGAAAACCCCGATGTCTTGCTCCGTTGCCTAGTCACACCAGGATTTCTAGCTCTTGTCTTTAGCAGCTTGGGTAATCCTGAGGACTTAAGCCTGCAGCCCTGTCAGATAACTGCATCCTCTGTTTATCCATATAAACAAGTCTCTGTTGAATTCTTTCCTTGTGCTAAGCCCTGTTCCAGGCCCTGGGGATTCAAAAATGACCAAGACAGACCAGGTCCCTGGCCTCACTGGGCTCAAAGTCTAGTGGTAGAAGCAGACAATATGGAAGCAAATAAAGAAGTGAGAGGACTTCCGCAATCGATAAGTATGTAGAAAAAAAAATAAATGGGGAAATGTGATATAGGTTCTTGGGGTGGGGGTCAGAAATGGGTGCTTTAAATAGGATGGATAGAGTAGACCTTTCTCATGAGGTGGCACTTTAGCTGAGGCCCATAAGACAAGATGGAGGGCAGACATGCAAAAATTCTGGGGCAGAAAGTGCCAGGTAGAGAGAATGGGAAGTGCAAAGGCCCTGAGGCAGGACCAGTGAAGCCTGGAGAGGACCAGACAGAAGCTTTTGTGGCTGGAGCATGGCAAAGCAAGAGAGACAGATAATGAATAATAGGAAGGGAGACGAGGTTGTTTGTGGCCTTGAGCACTTACTGCTGAGTACCTACTGTGTGCCGGGCCCTGTTCTAGAGGCTGGGGATTCAGCAGTGAACAAGATATGCAGACCTCAAGGAGCTTATCGTCTGGCGGGGCAGACAGCCAATAAATACGGAAGCACATAATTCAGGTTATGAAAAGGACCCAGATGGCTATAAAGTTGGCGGTGTGGCCTCGGGACAGGACACGTTGCCTCCGATGGGTGACCTTTGAGAAGGAGCTAGTTGTTAACGTAAAAATAAAAAAGCTAAAGTGAGAGACAACACGAGGTTTTTTCAGATCAAAGAATAGCTACTCGGGAAGCACTGATGCAGGCAGAAACACAGTGTTCCGATGACGGGGTGAAGGCAAGGGGTTTTATGAGAAAGGAAGGGAAGTAATTACATGCACACAAGGAAAGAATTTCTATAGGTGCTAATAAGCCATGTTATTCTTTAGCTCTATGTGGTGGTCTGATTCTTGAGAAGGTCCTCATAGTCAGGATGTGTGCTTTCTTATTATAATAGCTTTACGAACAGTTGCGTGGAATACAGCGTTGGTTTGGCCCAAAGGTTACTTTGCCCCATTCAAACATTTCAGGGGTGTGAGGAGTAAGATGTATGAGGCCACCCCTCTGGAATGGCTGCCTTAGCTCTATGTCAGCTCTTCGCCCAGGGAAGAGAGAATCAAGGCTACAGCAAGTGCAAGGGTCCTGAGGTGAGAGCATGCTTGCTGCGTTCAAAGACAGCAGAGGACCAGGGTGTCTGGGTTGGGTGGGAGGAGATGAGGTCAGGGAGGTAGGACTGTGAAACCTCTGGGGGGTTTTCAAGCAGGGCAGTGTCTGCCCTGTCTCTCAGCCATTAATCTGATTAGTCTCAGTGTCCCTTTGATTCTTCTCCATGTGTGTCTCATGCATTGTTTTCCTCTTTCCTGCCCTGCAATCCTGCCTCCTGGTGCAAATACAGATCTTATCTAACCTCTGAGTCTCTAGCTCTCTTTTTTTTTTTTTTTTTTAAATTTTTTTTTTGGGGAATTGGGGGAGGGCAGCGTCACTGGCCCTCATATGTGGGATCCAAACCGGGGCCCTCTGGCGTCCCAAGCCAGCTCTTAACCAATGCGCCACTCGGCCGGCCTAAGATGTTCATTTTTTTAAAAAATCCCTTTATTTAGAACAATTTTAGATTTACAGAAAAGTTACAAAAATAGTACAGTTTCCATATCGCCCGTACTTCTCATATTAGTGTCTTTGATAACTATAGTACAGTTTTCAGAACCAGAGAATTACCATTGGTGCAGTGCAGTTAACTAAACTTAAAGACTTTGATTTTCACCAGTTTTTCCATCACTGTTCTCATTCTGTCCCAGGATCCTATGGGACCCCACTTTGCATCCAGTTGTTAATTCTCTTCCTCTCATCCGTGACAGTTCCTTGGTCTTTCTTCATCTTTCATAACCCTAGCACTTTAGTGAGTTACTTTGTCAGATGCCCCTTAATTTGGGTTTGTGAGATGTTTTCTCAGATTTGGACTGAGGTTATGCAGTCTGGGCAGGAACCACAAAAATGATGTATCCTCAGAATATCATTCCTTGCGGCTTCTGATACTGATTGGTCATATTACTGGCGATGTTGGTCTTGATCACTTGTTAGAGTGGTTTCTACCGTATTCCCCTCTACAGCCACCATAGAGCTTTCACTTTGATGGAGCTGGTGAGCTCAGAATTCTTGGTCTTCAGAGTCTCTGGATTGCCCAGGAAAGCATTTCTTGACAGTTAAAGCTTCATTATTAATACCTTGTAAAAGTATTTTTATATTTGTAAAAAGATGAGACCTCATACCCCGGCCGTCCCTGCCTGCCATTCTTCCTGTCCAGTGCCTGGCCTGGAGCTTGACGCTTGTCACTTGATTTTGGCAGAGGAAGTGATGGTAGGCCGGGCTCTGGGCGTAACATCTTAAGTATTCAGATTCTGTAGGTTAGTTTGGGTCTGAAAGTGGTGAAATTCAGATTTCTTTGCTCCTCTTTCCAGATACAGTAATGCCTTGTTTTGCGAGCATAATTCGTTCCCAAAACAAACTGCTTGTATTGCAAGACATCGCTCGTTTACCATATTAAAATATACTAGAAATGTTTGCTCATCTTGTGAAATGCTCACAAACCAAGTTACTCGCAATCCAAGGTTTTACCGTACTCTTCATCAGGATCTTTAATTAAAAAAAGAAAAGAAAAAAGCAGAAGCTCTCACTCCACAGAAACAGCTGTGGAAAGTGAAATGGTGAAGGGGCCTCGGCAGCACCAGTGTAACCCTAACCCAGTGTTTCTCTGGCTCCCGTTTCCGTTAAGTCGTCTCCACACACTAAGCTGTGCTCTCTCTCCTCCCCAAGTGCCTCCCTCCCCAGCGGTCCTGTGAGCAGCCCTGGGAGCGTCCCCACCACTGTGGCCGTGCACATGCCGAAGCCCAGCAGGGTCCAGCAAGCCCTCGCAGGTAGGCACGCTGCTCCTGGGCTCTGGGGTCCGGAATAGACTTTCCGACAGACGTGGGGGCTATGGGAAATTATGGGGCGGGGGTCTTGTCACCCTCTGTGTTCTCATGGAAACCCAAAGGGACTCGTTTGGGGGGGCAGTGCCTCTTGTACCCCTGATGAGTGAGCCTGGGGTGCCCCTTTTTTGTCTCTCAGTGGGAGTTCTGCCTGATGACCATGCATGCCCTAGTGTGACCATTCCCCATCTTTTAAATTTTCACATGACCTTGAATTGTGGTTCGAGAGTCACCCCTCTGCTTGGAAATGTGTTAGGCATTTCCCTAAAGGAGGTCTCTGGGAAAGTTTCAGAACTTATTTATTTAGGTTGGAGTGACATATTGAATAAGTGGCTTTTGTGCCCAACTAGATCTTTCGTTAACTATACATCTTAGAACTATTTTTCAAATTCGTTTTACAGGTGTTAGGGAGACACCAAAAGTAATTTTTTAACTTATGAGAGAAATGTCAGGTGTTACAGAAAGGTAGACTGAGGGTAGTGACCCATTATTTAAAGGTCAAAAGGGAAATAAACAGAGCACCGGTGTCTGTTAGGTGAGTTGTTGTGGTAAAACAGAAGGGGTTGGGAGGGAGTCCTAGAGGCAGGGAGACCCTTATGGAGCCTAACTTTATGCCTCAGGTAAGCTGTCCCACCCTTGGAGAGCTGGGATGCAGCCCCAAGCATCCTGCCCTCAGCATCTGGCCTCTTAGTTCTTGCCACTGTGCTGCTCCTGGGTCTGGTGGGAGCGTTGGTAGGGATGAGGGGTTGATGGCTGTGTATAGACAGGCAGAGCTGGCCTGGAGGCAGTGGGAGTTTGGACGTACAGCTCAGATGAGCAGTCTGGGTGCAGTGGAGTGGCCTCTGCCCCACCATGGGAGTGTGTGAGCTTACCGAGATCGTGGGTGGGACACTGGGAGGAAGGACTCTTGCGGGAAATGGAAAGACCAGTCAGAGAGGTGATAGAAAGTGGGAGAATGGGGTCGGGAAAGCCGCAGAGGGAAACCCTGCCCTGCAGGTCCTCTGGCACCGGCTTCAGCTGCTCAGCCATCAACCCTCTGCTGGGGCAGAGAAAACAGTGAGCAAAGATATGGTGGCTAGAATGTTCCTGCCCCGTTTAGGTCTTCTTGTGGCATCAGATGCCATAGGTGAATCAGGTAAAAGGGCGCGTGTGTGTGTGTGTGTGTGTGTGTGTGTGTGTGTGTGTGTGTTTTAGTGGTCTTGCAGAAAGGTTGTGGGTGAACAGGCCCGGCCTACATGTGCTCAGCCCCATTCCATTCTGCAGTCGCTAAGGCTCTAACACAAGTTATAATAACTTCTCGAAGTGGTCTGGGTATTGAGGAGTTCTTTCTCCTTTTCTCCTGCTCTTGAGGCCAAGGACCTCCTCCAGGCTGCGTCCCAGATTGTCCTCCATCGTGTCCAGTAGTTTCATTGTAGCGTCTTTGCTGCAGACATTTATGCCACATAACTCATTGGCCATAAGGCACTTTTGCCATAAAAAGGGTGAAGTACCTGATTGACAGTTTTGTTTTGTTTCGTGGTGGTATTTTTGTTTGTTCGATTTTTGGGGGTTTTTTGTTTGTTTTTTTGTCTGTTTGGTTTCATTTCTCCATTAACGAAGTAGAGGAAAAAAATAGTTAAATAATAGTGGTGTTTAAAAGAGCATTTCTTCCAGATGATGATGATTTGCTCCACGAGTTAGCTGGTTATTTTGAAACACACTGCGCTGGGAAGAGAGAAAGAGTTGACCTGCATTTCCCATTGAACGAAGACATATGCCTAAGTACAGTCCACAAAATAAAATTAGGTATTTGCGCAGCATTGCCATGAAGGTATTCAAATTTTTGCATTTCACAATAAGGTCTTTTTAATTTTGTTTTCATTTTTTTTGTTTGTCATGATTTTGTCTTTTTTATGGCAAAATTGCCTTCTGGCCAATTAGTTATACAGCGAAGTGTTTGTGGCAAAAATGCTTGCATCAGAGATGCTGCAGTGAAAGTACCTAGATCTGTCCTCACTGTCCCCCGTCACCTTGGCTCTCAGAGCAATCCTGGAGATAGGTGGGTATTTTAACCTCTGTGTCACTTGTTGCGTCCCTCACGACATGGGCAATGGGAGAACGAGAGGGGGCGGCGAAGAGTTAAGAAAAGAAACAGTAGCCAGGAGTTAAATGAGCGTGAGGCCAAGGATCTCCAGCTTCAGAGGACCAAGAGCCCCGAATCGGGCCGACACGCTGCTTTTATTTCTCCACCTACCCGGAAGTAGCATTCTCTCCACAGTCTGTGAGTTCCATTCCTGAGAACTTGCTCAAGCCAAATTACCCATGCCTACAAGCTGCTATTACTGAGAGTCTGCCCGCTGCAATAAGGCAGATGCTCTGCCTTCACACACCCTATACACATATGACTCCAGGAAGATAAGATTATTGAGCTGAGGACAGATACTATCACACCATCAGGTCACTTCCCAAGCAGGTTGAGGGAAGGAATGTAGTTACAGAGGTAGAAAACCTCAGTCTCTTTGGGGGCGGGTGAGAGCCCATGCCCACCTCCATCAGCCCCGAGATTTCTCCTGATGGTCCCCATGCGACTGTGCCTGGCTTAGGTTGTTCCTTCCTCAAGAAATCTTACCCGTCATTGACTAACTAGCCATCCTTTGGGGCCAAACGGAGACGTAAGGTGTATGAGCACTGTCCTCAAAAGGGTCAGTTTAGGGTTAACCACGGGGGGACAGATAGCTGGACAGCTGCGTGGCAACAGTCACTCATTGGGGAAACAGACTGCTAAGGTTCAGGAACTAGGTCCCAGCCAGGACAGAGTAGAGACAGGAGCCCGTGACTAGATGTCACCTCCCCTGCATACAGAGCTCTGGCTTCTACCTGTTGGTGAGACCTGTCCAGGGCTCCAGGGAGCAAGAGCTCCTGGGCCGGCCCCCGAGAAGCAGGGCCTGGAGAATGTTCTCTCAGCCTGGGCTATGCTTATGGATTTGGGAATATGGATTTGGGCACCGCAGCAGTGAGGTGAGCATTGGGCACAGGGTTTTCAGGTAGGTTTACAAACAAGTGGTCATGCTGCTGGATGGACTGTGTACCCCTCTGCACGTGCACAGAGGAGCCACCTCCAGGTCAGTCGAGGAGTGGCTCAGGTGACAACGTCACGGGCTGCTGCATAGCTTGGCCTTCTGGGATGGATTGGGCCCCTGATGCTGGGGCCAGGCTCCCACCCTGTGAGGGAGGAGTCATGTCTGCATTTTATGCTGCTGCAACCTGCCCAACATTGGTCAGCCGAGGAAGAGTGGTGCTGGGCTTGAAACCCTGCTTGGCAAGACCAGAGCTGGAGGAGGATAAGCTTGAACCTGAGCCCTGGTCACTGGACAAAAGGCTGACCCTTGGTGTGTAGTCTTCAGGGGCTCTGACAGATCAGGTGGGAGTCCTCTCAGATGCGTTGGAGGAAAAGCTGTGGCTGTTGAAGCTGTTACAGTTATTTGGGGATGTCAGGAGTTTGGGAGGCTGTCTCTGAGCTGTTGTGGAAGATGTGATGGTCCACTCTTGGTGTCTTGCCACCATCCTGTCCCCTGGGCACTGCTTCTGTGGGGTGATTTTCACAGTGTCACAAGAAGGTAGACTCAGCAGGGGCTGGCCCTCTGTAGGCTTCTAAGTGGAGACCTGTGTCTGTGACTTGGATTTAGGGGACTGGGTTCTGCATTGGAAAGGGCAGGAGTGCTGTTCATGCTGGCCTCTGGGAGGTTGGTGATGGTGGTCCCAGGGGCGTCTTCGCTCCCCAACACACAGGTACTTGGAACTTCGTGTGACCTGGCTCTGCCCCAGGTGCTCCCTGCAGGAAAAAACAGAAACAGATAAGCAAGTCCTCTCCAGTGGTAAGAACGCTGAGCAGAATAAAGGAGACAGTTGGAGGGGAACATGGCCCTTGTAGATGGGGTGTTCAGTGAAGGGCTGCCTGCTGATACAATGCTTGAGGAGCAGTCTAGTTGAAGTGAGGAAGCTAATTGATATTGGGGGAAGAGGAGGTGAAGAGAACCAGTACAAAGGTCCATGGTTCTTCTCTCCATCTTTCTGCCCCCGTGTCTGCTTGTCATTCAGTCTGCCTGACATTTACTTCCCAAGGGAAGCCACACTTAAGCCCAGGAACAAACCTTGGGACACTGGTGGCATTGCATTACCTGATGAGCAGGTGCCCAGGGTCCCACCTTGGTCTTCTGATGTGCACTTCAAGCGGCCCCCACAATGCACCCTACTTGCCTGGGCTATGCAGCCCAGGCTGCTACCTGGCCCCCACTTCTGTCTCTGACTGGGTGCGTTTGCCACTTCCAGAGCCTTTGTTCTTCTGGTAGAGGCCACAGCAGCTAGCCTAATGGATCACGAGGCCAGGTGTCCCCTCACCTGTCTGAATGGTGTCTGCAGTGGGCAGCACTCTCTGCCTGGCCTGGGTGAGGAATGGGGCCCAGCAGGGCCAGGATCTCCACTGCCCACCCTAAGCTACCCACGGTGCCCAGTCCCAGAGCCAGATTATGAGCACCTGGAAAGCCACCCTTAGGGAGGTGCCCAAGGAGAAGCCCAGAGCTCCCTTCCCTGGGAAGGAGAGGAGGTGCGTTTGAGCCAGACTGAGGATGGGGGGATGGGGAGGTGGTTCTGTGGACAGCATGGTAGGTTGAGAGCTTGACAGGAATAAGGACTCCAACAGGAGGACATGCTGTGTTCCAGGAAGTGTTGGGTCCTCGGGGAGTACAGAGAGTGCAGTGTGGGAGGAGGGCCAGCTCCTGTGTGGAGTGCCAAGCGGAGGAATGAGGCCTTCCCCACAGGCATCCGGAAATGTGGCAAGGATGGACAGTCCATCTCAGCAGGGCTGCCTGATGCCCCTCCCACCTATGGTGGGCATACCCACCGTGCTCCCACCCAGGGCACAGGGGCTGTTGAAGCCCAGCTGAGGGCACCAGAGAAGGAAGGAAGCCACGGCTTTCCTTCACTGTATCAGAGGAGCAGTCACGTGGACCATGGGGATGCCTCAGTTGGGGAGGAGACCCAAGGGTCAGCATTCCTGCTCGCCACCCCGGCGATGGCACTGAAGCCACCTAGACAGGCAGCAAACAGCACCCCACTGGAGGCAGCGTGACCCAGAGTCAAGGGGGCATGCATGCAGGAGGATCACTGAACTCTAGAGACCATCCATGTTTCCATAGCTTGGCTGCACACTTTCATGTCGCCCATCTCTTTTTCTGTGCCTGGCATGGGGAGACGCCATCCAGAACTGCCCAGGAGGCTTCCCGGGGCGGCATCCTGCCCTCTCCTGAAGCGAATGGCTTTGCCCCCCTGCATACTCTGGGCACAGACTGATTGGTGGCTTGTACAGACACCTGTGGAACTTGGGGCCAGGGCTCCAGTGAACCAGGCGTCTTACTGTCTTACTGTTCCTGGCCTGGAGCTTAGCCCATGCTAGCCTGGGGAGGCCCTGGCAGCCTCGAGCCGCCGGATTCCCCGGGAAGGTTGGTGGGTCCGGATGGCCGTTCACAGTGCCACCTGGGCTCAGCCAGGGTTTGTGGACGTCACATGCCGAATGACTCCTAACGTTTCTCCCCTCTCTGCATGTCTGATCTCACACCCCGTGTAGGCATGACGAGTGTTCTGATGTCAGCCATCGGACTCCCTGTGTGTCTTAGCCGCGCACCCCAGCCCGCCAGCCCTCCCGCCTCCTGTTTGGCCTCTAAAAGTCACAGCTCAGTTAAGAGAATGAGGAAAATGTCCATGAAAGGTAGTTCCTGCTCACCAATGCTCTCTGGCCTTTGCTCAGCCGCCTCCGAGTCTTGCTGCCTCTGACTCTCCCGCATCGATTGCTCTTCTCTGATTCCCACAGCCCTTCTCTTCCTTCACCCCGCCTGCTGGGGCCCGGGCATCACGGTCCTTCTCCGTGGCCCCCTGCAGTCCCCAGCGCAGGTCCTGTCTCCCTGGCAGGGGCCTGTTCTTGAGGACTGTGACTTTACAAACACGTGTGGGGTGAGGCCTGGCTCAGGGTGAGGGACAATTCTGTCCCTTCCACTGGGGCCAGCGTGTGTGTCAGGAAAGGCCCCCAGCCCTGTCTAGTCTGCTTCAGAGGGCTCCACTGATGACCACCGCCCTGCCTGTCACCCAGCTGGGGATGAAAGGGTTACAGAAAGTTCTGTGAGTTTTAACAAGACTTGTGTGGAGGGGCGTGTGGGAAGTAAGAGTTAAACTTGCCATTTCTAAAGCCAGCTGTGGCTCTGGCTCCATCATGGCGCCAGAGAAGCACAGACTTGCAAGCCCAGTGACCTTCAGGACAGTGTGGTGAGCAGGGGGCATATTTCTAGCACTCACTAGCTTTGTGATCTCACACGAGTGTCTCCATTCATGAGCAGGTGCCTCCTACTTAGCAGGTTGGTTGTGAGAGGAGTAGAAAGTCCATACTTGAAGCACCTGGCACATAGTAAGGGTGGTTGCTCTGATCCTGTCCACTGCCTGTCCAGCCTCCAACCCACAGGGGAGGAGAAAGGCCCAGGGAGGGTCAGGGCTTCACCTGCCCCGTCCCCATTCCCACCCCCATCCCAGCAGGGTGCAGGCTCTGAGCTCCTGACCCTGTTCAGTTCTTACTCTGCCTTGGAGGTGGAGACAGAGGTCTGGGCTGGGGCAGGCCGCAGCTTTCTGAGGTACTGGGTTTGCCTGGAAAGAACACAGGCTCTCGGAAGGCCCCCTGGCCTTCCTGGGCTTAGATGGCCCTGTCGTGGGGTTGGCGGTCACCTGGCTGGCACCCCCGGAGAAATGTGGCTCGTGGAAAGCTGCCTTCAGTTGAGAAAGGCTTCTTGGGTGAGGGCAGGTGGTGGGGGAGTGGGATGCTGAGCCGGCCTCACCAGATGTGAGCCAGAAGCTGGTCCCGGTGGGTGGGATCCTGGGTTCACCTGGAGGCTTTTCTGAGAGTCTCGTCCCCTCGATCTGAGTAGAGCTTCCACAGTCAGGACAGCTACGCAGTGCCAGTGGGTATTGTGCTTTGGCCTGGCTTTTTCTCCACAGCGACCAGTCAGGGTAGAAGTCTGTGTGTGTGTACATGTGTATGTGTGTGGGTGTGTGTGAGGGGGGGTACTCCTTTGCCTGTAGCTGCCTTTCAGGGAATAACAGTTGATGCCTTTACAGCTATCACCGCTTTGGTCAGTATTAGGTCTCCTCTTTTTAGACGAGGTAACTGAGACTCAAGAGGTGACATTAATTGATCCCAGCCAAGAGCCAGAATAAAATCTGACGTTACCTGGTCCCAGGCCCCCTGTTCCCCTCATAACTATCACTGGGCTCTCTGTGGTCTAGAGGGAGCTAGCTTTTGAACCCTCAGGCTTGTACATCTTTGCAGCCACAGGGCCGTGAGCTTGGGTTCGAACCAGAGGCCAAGATCAGGAACTCCCCAGCAACCTCACGGCGGGATGAGGAGCCCGACCGGGCCACTTCCCAGGCTGCACTGGTCTCCCTGGCCCCTCCTCTTTGCCCTCACACAGGCTTTGCTGCTGTTCTCTCGGTGATTCTGCCGCTGCCTCTGTCTGGACAAATCCCCCAGCTGTACCAATTCCCTCTCGCTAGCTGGGGGAGTGTCTTGTCCTTGGGTGGGGCCTGTTGGTGCACTTGCGCACAGAGGAATGGGAGATTTTGAAAGGAGCCCGGTAGCCAGGTTTTCACTTCCTGCTGAATCTCAGCTGCTTTCCAGAGTCACTTGGCTTTGGAACCAAGTAGGTATGTCACTGAGATCCCATAGCCCAGGGACAGGCTGGAGAAGACTTTACAGCATGTCATGACAGTGTCAGTGTAGCCGTCATCTGCAGTCAGCGTGCACACATCCCCACACGGGGTAGACATCTTCTATATGCTCGACTCATAAAACTTGTTTTACCGAGACTTTCTTATAAGAAGAATGAAAGTGGAGTGAAACAACGCTGCCAGCACATGCTCCAGAGTAGTTTGTTCTAGAAGCTGCTATTTGACTCTTCCGCTTGTCCTCCGAAGAGCCTGGGTCCGGTTTTCTGACCAAATGTGCACAGGGATCCGAAGGCTGTGACCTGCTGCTGTCCTGCCCTCTTCCACCGCCTCTTCCAGGGCCTCCAGCGGGTGGGCCTGGATAAGGCGTAGCCAAGCGGAGTGTTCTGCCCCTGGCTTCACATCTCTCCGCTCTTGCATGCTGACCCTCCCGTCTCAGCCCCTCTAACATCCTCCTGGCAGCTTTGACCTCTCTCTTGTCTTCCTTTCTCTCTGGTTTCAGCATCTGCAGTTCGTTCTCCTTGGGACAATACTGATGCTTTCCTCTCTTCTAGGAGGGACTTCAAAGCCAGAGCCAGAGCAGGTGATAAGAAACTATACTGAAGAGCTGAAAACGGCCCCAGATGAGGTAGGTGTCACAAGAGCCATGCTGCCGTTAAGTTTTGCTTAGAAACAAGTGGCAGCGCCAGCCTGGTCCCTGCTGGAAGGGCACTTACCCAGATGCCTCTGGGTGCCAGCTCCATGCTCTGGGCACTTGGGTTTAATCTCCCAGCCTCCCGTAGGAGGCAGGCCTTTCCAAGATGAAATGGCTGTGGCTTCTGAGACTTGGGTTCTGATTTTAGCTTTGCCACAAACAAGTGTGCTCCTGAGCAGAGCTTTTCTTGCACAGGCCTCTGTGTAGCCCTGTGCCATCCTGGGGGCCAGGGGTCCTGGAGACAAGGGATGGAAGAGCCTGCCCCACCCCCAAAGGCTGATGACGGTGTAAAAGGGAAGTGGCCTTGTCCAGGCAGCAGTGCCGCCCCTCTAGCTGTTGGGAGAGCAGCTCAGGGTTCCCGTAATTAACAGGGCCTGCCAGACCTCCGTAACAGCTTCAGTAGGACCCAGACCTCTCTCTGCTGGCCCACACTTTGGGGGCTTCAAGTGCCACTTTTCTCCTATTTGAATGGAGAGTCCTGGAGACTGGAGGAGGTGGGTTAAATGTCAGTCCTTTCAGTTCAGAACCGAGGACTCTTCATGGGCCTGTTTCTCCTGCAGGTTGGGTATGTGAGAAACACCTGGGTGGTAAAGGTTGATACAGAAGCCCGCAGGACACCCTTGTGTCTCCCATCGTTCCTCCAGCCCTCTGCTCCCACTTCCCAGCACTCAGCCGGGCTTTTTCTTTGCCCTTGTGCTCATTGGGCACAACTGGGATGGCTGTGAAGCTTCCGGATCTGCTCCCCTGTCTCTCGTCTCATGTGCCCCCTGCAGGTGCCACCGCCCCTCCCAAACTCTGTGCTGGTTCACACCTCACATCATTCTCTAGCTTCTACCCAGAACGCCCATTCCCACACTTGTCGACCTGACAAGTGCCCTTTTCCCTTGGAAACCCAGCCTGGAGCGCCTCTCCTGTCGTCTCTGTCTGGCTGTCCCGCTGCCATCTGGCCCGTGCTTCTGTTACTGCACTGGCCCCTGGGCTCAGCGCTGCCTTTCCTCCCCCGTCCTGTGGTGAGCCCCCTGAGGGAACAGCTCCCGGGGACTCATCTGTGTTCCCAGCCTCTGGAACAAATGGCTGTTGGATTGACTTTGGCTGTAATTTCAGCAGATGCTGGCCTTTTTCTACAAGACGCGCCTCTCTGGGCGCAGTGTCTCTCTTGGTGACTGTGCCCTGTGTTTGGTCCCCCTCCAGGACTGCATCATCTGTATGGAGAAACTATCCATGGTGTCTGGGTACAGCGATGTGACCGACAGCAAGACCATTGGGCCAGTGGCTGTAGGCTGCCTCACCAAGTGCAGCCATTCCTTCCACCTGCTCTGCCTGCTGGCCATGTACTGCAATGGGAACAAGGTGCCCACATGCCCAGGGTGGGGGCCAGGGAGACCCGTCAGTCATGTTGCACCTGAGCAGGTGACAGGAGCTGCCTTGCGAAGGACCTGGGGTGTTCTTGGAGGCAGCCCCTGCTCTATAGCAGAATGGGGGTCGGCAGCTGGGGTCTGGGGTGGCAGGTGACTCCTGGCTGCACCTTCTTCAGAGGAGTTTGGCCAAAATGGACAGAGATTGGGAGGACAGAGAGAACTGAGTCACATGGCAGACCTTCAGGCTTGGCTTGGCCGCTTTCTGCAGTATCCCTGTGCATCCTGTACCAGCCAGGGTGCCAGCACCAGCAGTCACAGGGTTTCCTGCTTGATTTTAAATGTGAATTGACTCTGGGGACTTTTACTTATAAACCTAGTTTTCCTACCTGATGCTAGTCTCCTGGTACTTACTTCCTTTAATGAAAATTGTATAACGAGTTTCTAGTGCAAAATTTACGTTGCCAAGGAAGCTGTTGGAATCAAGGCTGCCTGGGAGTCAGGCCATCTGCCCAGAACCCGTTGTGTGACAGCAACTGACCTGTCTCCCCGTGGGCCTCCTTTTTTATCTGGGCAGCGGGTGGCTGTGCCTAGGTGCTCTCTCAGGGCTGCCAGCTCAGCATGTGGCATTCTGCCTTGTCTCAGGACGGAAGTTTGCAGTGTCCTTCCTGCAAAGCCATCTATGGAGAGAAAACTGGGACCCAGCCCCGGGGGAAGATGGAGGTGTTCAAGTTCCAGGTGTCCCTCCCCGGTCATGAGGACTGCGGGACGATACTCATAGTTTACAACATTCCTCATGGCATCCAGGTAAGGAGGCCCCGGCACAAGAGGAGCCTCCTCAGATCAGTCTGGAATCAGTCCCTCTCCCAGCAGCCTGCCCCTGGTCACTGTGAGGATGCCTGGGTTGCTGAGTTCAGGGTCCCAGGAACCAGGAGGTGCTAGTGCTGGGGGATTGAAGAAAGTTCTTAGGGCTGTGGAAGCAAAGAGATGGCCCTCAGCGCTTTCCTGAGATAAGGAGGGCTTCCTGGAGGTGGAGACATCTTAGCTGGACTTGTACTGGGCAGAAGACCAAATGTATAAGCAGGAGGAACCCTTGTGTTGAGTGTCCTGGGGCAGGAACCCTCCCAGGGCAGAGCATAGGACAGGGAGGTGCCAGCAGTGAGACCGAGAGACTGGCTCAGTGGCCAGATCAGGCCTGGGTTGGGTGTGGCAGGCCTGGGCCTGGATGTCAGAAACAAGACAGGAACCCTAGCGGAAGGCCCCAGGGTCCCAGAGGAGACCCAGACAGGAGCACTGGCCCCATAGGCCTCCTTCCTTGGGCCAGGATTGACTTCAGAGCCTGGGGGCATTTGTGGAAGATACAGAGCAGCATAGCTAGGAGCCCAGGGGGCCCGTAGACGAGTTTTGTTTAATCACGTGCTCTTCCCTGGTTTCCCTCTACTACGTCTCCCTGGCCCAGTGAAATTTAAAAACATTGCAGAGAGGGTTGGAGCCCCAGGGCAGGAGGGGAACTTGTACATGGCGTGTCACCGTGTGGCAGAGGGCAGGAGCAAGGGCTGTCTGCCATGCAGCCCCCTGCCCTCCTGCCCAGGCTACTGTCATTGTCTCAGGGCCCTGCTCCAGCCACTTCTAGAGTGAGGAGCAGAAGGGCCAGTGTGACGGATTGAGGGCATCCTGAAGGCGGGCAAACCCTGCCCTCAGTCCAGAGAGCCCAGTGCCCAGAGGGTCGCTGAAGAAGGAGGAGCCTCCGTCCCAGCCTCTGAGGGGTTTCAGTCTCATCAGGGAAATAAAGTCGGCAGGAGTGTCTGTGCCAGGCGGGGTGGTCGTGGGTGGGAGGTCATGTTCACGTTGGATCTGTGAGGGTGGCAGGATTTGAGACAGCAATTTATTTGGTCACTTGAGTGCAGGAATAGCACTGGCCAGGAGGGCAAAGGGGCAAGGCTGGGCCTCCATGTCCCGTGCATCTCTCGGAGCACCCCTACTCCTGTGTTCCTCCTGCAGGGCCCTGAGCACCCCAACCCCGGGAAGCCATTCACCGCCAGAGGGTTTCCCCGCCAATGCTACCTTCCAGACAATGCCCAGGGCCGCAAGGTAAAGACTCGCCACCACCGTCAGGGAGGGGCCCTCCTGCTGGCAGGCCTGTGCCCACCTGCTGGTGCCAGTGCCAGGTGGGTGGGGTGGAGAGGGCCTGGCTCAGCCCAGCAGCGGGAAGCCTGGTGTCCACACTCGTCTCTGCTTCTACTCGCCATACTGCAACAGGAGGAGGGGGACTTGACCCGGGGCTGGATGAGGTGTGGGCCACTCCTTTCTGGGGACCTTGCTGTGGTTTGGGCATCCTCAGGGTGCCAGGAGTACAGGGAGAGGTGACCGGGACTTCACAAGGGCTCTAGCGGGGAGCACAGGCCATCTCTTTTAGCAGCCTGTCAGCCAGGTGATGCCTCTGCACTGAGACCCAAGTTGGGACTTTCCTTGCTCATGGGAGACCATTCTAGGCAGACAGAACAGCTAATGTAGCAGCTTTGAGGTGGGAACAGGCTCAGAAAATGTGAAGAGTCCGAGGGAGAGCCAAGTGGGTGAGGGGGCGTGAGGTGGTTGAGGGGGCAGGGGAGGTGGATTGGGGCGCCCTCCAGGTCAGCAGTAGGAATTGGGCTTTATTCTAAGCACTGTGATGCCATGAGGTGAGGGCATGTCAGTGGAGGAGTAAGAGCTGCAGACTGTAGGTTTGAGAAAGCTCCCTCTGGTGCTGTGAGAGGATGGACTCCAGGCTGCCAGGCATGGAGAGCAGCAGGAATGGGAGAGAGCAGGGATGCCTGGATTCGATGAAGAGGGTGAGGAGGAGCTAATCCAAGATGTACTTGGAAGGCGGGAAGAATCAGAGTGGCTCCAAGTTGGGGGCTGAGTAGATGGCAGCACTCTCTGAGGCGGAGGGCCAGCCGACAGGTGGGGCGGAGACTTTAGTCATGGAGGTGCTCAGTTTGAGGTCCAGTTGGACTTTCAGATCCACAGTTGGAGTTCCAGGGGGTTAGGGCTGGAGCTGGAGGCCAGGGACCCCCACACATGGGGCTTCATGCCGTTGAACGTCACTTAGGAGACAGCAGATTGCAGTGGAGAGGAGAAAGGCCCCAGCTCCCAGGGGCCCTACCACTGGTTGAAGGTACCTGTTGAATGAACCACAGGCCCAGCACGCAGCATTGCACAGCCCACAGCTGACATTGGTGGATGGTTGGTGCTGCCGTCCTCGTCCTCATCACCGGGGCGAATCAAGGGCCGAGGGTGGGGACCTTCTGCCCCAGGGGGAAAAACTGAAGGCACAGGCCAGCACTCAGTCACCCTCCCTTCCCTCTCTCTCTCTCTCCTCTTCCGGGCCCTCTCCCTCCTGGGGCAGGTCCTGGAGCTGCTGAAGGTGGCCTGGAAGAGGCGACTGATCTTCACGGTGGGGACGTCCAGCACCACGGGGGAGACCGACACGGTGGTGTGGAACGAGATCCACCACAAGACAGAGATGGACCGCAACGTGACAGGCCACGGCTACCCTGACCCCAACTACCTGCAGAATGTGCTGGCCGAGCTGGCTGCCCAGGGGGTGACTGAGGACTGCCTGGAACAGCAGTGACCCGCCAGCCTGGCAGCCAGCCTCCCCACCCCTGCTGCTGGCAGGCAAGCGGGAAGGTGCCTTTCCTCAGAGGCTGGAATGTTTGTTGCGGGCACGGGGTGCTCCACAGAAGCTGGGGCTTCTCCTGTCTGCCTTTCCCCCTTCCGCCTCCCCTCCAGGCCTGGGTCTCCATGGGAATTGGGCAAGCCTGGGGAGTTGTCACTGTGGGGGCTTAAGATGCAGCTACCTCAGTGCATGGGGGGGCCCTCTGTCCTTGGCTGGCTGTGTTGGGCCTCCAGTGCTGGGGGCCTGGCATGGGGTGGGGAGAGACTGCCCACCCCCAGCCAGGGGCAGGCATGGGTCTGGGTCAGCTTCTTATACCTCAGATGTTCTGTTTGCAATAAATGCCTGATAGCCAAAGTCATCAGGCCCTGGTGTGTCTGTCAGTGGAGAGGCCATGTTTGTGTGTGTGTGTGTGTGTGTGTGTGAGTGTGAGTGAAGGCCAGCACACGCGTGTCTTGCTGTATCAGAGCGGAAAGGGACCACATAGGCTGTCCAACCCCATTTTCTAAATGAAGAAACAGGCTATGGTGAGGACCAGAGAGCCCGTGACACTGACCTTGCTGCTTCCCCATCCCCCAGCCCAATCCTCCTTGCAGTGTGCAGTCCAGCAACTCAGAGCCCACCATCCCATTACTTCCCCAGGTTCTGGAGAATGCTGCTCACAGGAGGGGGTACTGCTGTCTCCATTCTACGTGGGAGGAAACAGGTTCAAGGGCGTAGTAACTGGCTCAAGGTCCCAGGCTAGTAGTAGACCCAGAGCCAGAATCAGGGCCAGGATTGGGCTGACGCCATCCTCACAGTTCTAATTCTTCTGGACCTTCTTAGAAGGAGGATCAAATACCCCCAGGCTTGCTGTCTGCCTGGGGGCCGTGCTCGTGACCTGGGGCCACAGGGACGCACAGAACAGCATTTTGAGTGGGCATGGGGCACTTTTGCCTTTGCGAGCCCCTTTCTCCATAAGAAAAAAAGTTAAATTCTGTTTTATGATGTGTTGGTATAAAGACGAATATATAATAGAGCACTTTCTTCCATTTATTTATTATTTTCTTCCATTTAGAAGTTCTTTTTTTCCCCCTTCTGATTTTAAAAGAAATTAAGATGTTTTCCTGGGCCCGTAAAAGTATTGTGGGCAATGTGCCCACTGAGCCTCATGGAGGAGCTGGTCCTGGGGAGAGGGGGAGGCCTGGCTGGACCCTCAACCTGTTTGGTTCCACGATGAGACCTGCTCCTGGGAGTTGGGTGGGTGCCTGAGTGCTGCTGCTGTCTTGGCTCCCACCATTAAAGTATAGTGAGAATCAGAATGGGAGGAAATGTTTGCAAATCACCTTCCCGATAAAGGTATAGTATCCAGACTATAAGGAACTCAACAATAAAAAGGCAAATACCCAGTTTTTTAAAAGAGCAAAGGCCTTTTCTCTGAAGAAGATACACAAATAGCTGACAAGCACGTGAAAAATGCTTACAGTCATCAGGGAGACACAAATCAAAACCACAAAGTGATACCACTTCACACCCATCAGGATGGTTATTAATAAGAAAAGGGAAGGAAAACAGCAAATGAGAAGGCTGTGGAGAGACGAGCCCCCACCTGCTGCCGGAGGGGATGTAAAAGGCAGCTGCTTTGGAGAACGGTTGGGCAGTTCTCAAAAAGTAGCTACCGCATGACTAAGCAATTCCACCCCCGCTTCATATCCAAGAACTGAAAACATGTCCTCATAAAAACTTGTACATGAATGTTTACAGCAACATTCATAATAGCCAAAAAGTAACAAAAACCCAAATATCCATCAGCTGATGAATGGATAAGCAAAATGTATATACACACAATGGAATGTTATTCTGCCTTTAAAAGGAAGCATTCATACATGCTACGACATAGAGGAATATTAAAAACATCATACCAGGGCCAGCCGAGTGGCTCAGTTGATTAAAAGCACAAGCTCTGAACAACAGGATCGCCGGTTCGGTTCCCACATGGGCCAGTGAGCTGCACCTGAGCTGAGTTGTCAAAGGGTGACAGGATGGCTCCTAACAACAAGGCTGCTGGTTCGACTCACGCAGGGGATGGTGGGCTGTGCCCACCCGCAACTAAGATTGAACATGGTACCTTGAGTTGAGCGGCCACGAGCTGCTGATGGGCAGCCGGATGGCGACTGGACTTGGAGCTGAGCTAGCTGTGCCCTCCACAACTAAGATTGAAGAACAACAACATGGCTGTTCCCCTTCCCCAATTCCCCAATAAAACGTTTTAAAAAAAAAATAAACGAAAGAAAAAACATCATGCCAAGTGGAAGAAACCAGACAGAGAAGACCACATACTGTGTGATTTCATTTATGTGAAATGTCCAGAACAGGCAAATCCGCACAGAGAGAAAGGAGATTAGAGGGAGGAGGGAGTGACTGTTTTCATGGGCACTGTTTCCTCGTGATGAAAAGGTTCTGGAATTAGTTGTGATGATTGCACAACTTTGTGATTATACTAAAAACCAGTGAACTGTACACTTTAAAAGGATGAATTTTAGGATATGTGAATTATATCTCAGTTAAAAATACATATCTTAAGAATCAAAGGGTACAGCTGAAACTAATTCTAAAAAACGTGTATTTCACAATAAAAAAATAAAAAAAAGAACCAAAGGGTATAATTAAGTGAGGGGCTTGACATCTGTCAAGGGCTCAACTGATCTTTAAGTTCCTCCTTTGGACTAGGGACCTGAGGAACGAGGGAGCATGTGGCCTCGTGGAGAAAAGGCAGGAAGGGCAGGGCCAGCGGTGCCGTGATGGGACTGGAGCTGAACAGGTTGCAGCTGCCCAGGGCTTGCTCCTGGGTGGGGATGGAAGACCAGAGGGAGTCTCCTGGTGCCTGGGGTGCAGGAATCTCAGGCATGTGGCCCTGAGCCCATGTTTCCACACATTGGCCACCCTCCCCAGGGCTGGGAGGTAGGGAGGCTGGGTGGGTCTAAACGCAGACATGGGATCTGAGGTGGCTTGGCCAGCAGTCTAGGGGTCCGGTGGCCTCTCTCTCAGTCCTGGCCTAACCCACACTAGAGCACTGCCCAGATCCCTCCCTGTGGTGGGCTGGGCTGGGGGGAGGGGTTGGGGTGCATTCACATTTTCAGGTCTTTCCAGCCCTTGGGCAGCCTGGCAGCCTGACTAACCAGCTCTCCAGGCCTAAGGTGTTGGGGGAAGGGGTGCTACAGAAGGCAGCCAGACCAGCCTCAAGCTGTGGATGTTGTAGAAGGCAGTGGACATGGGGCTCCCCCAGAGGCAGCCTCGCCTGTGCCTGCTATTCCTCATGGTGGCGCTGGTCTGGCCCCAGCCCTGCGTGAACTTGGGTGAGTAGGGGTCCAGGGATTGGCAGCACCTGACCAGCCAGACCCAAGGGGCTGGGGCACCTGCTGGAGTGATTGGACTCCACACCCTCCCATTGGGAGAGGTGGCCCCAGGGGCAGTGGGTCCCAGGACCCTCATGCCTATCTCCATGGCCGCAGAGCTGATCCCCTACACGCCGCAGATAACAGCTGGGGACCTGGAAGGGAAGGTCACGGCCACCACGTTCTCCTTGGAGCAGCCTCGCTGTGTGCTGGACAGGCATGTCAATGCTACTGACACCATCTGGCTGGTGGTGGCCTTCAGCAACGGTGTGTCATGGTGCAGGTGTGGGGCCTGGGGTGAGCGGTGTGACTGAGGAGAGCTACAGGGTCCGGGAGACTCTCATATGACTTTTGACACTGTTGGTTGACAGTTGGGCTTTAGTGACAGGGGGATCTGAGAGGGTGACAAAGCCTGCTTTGTGTCTGTAGGGGCCCTCTGGGCACTGAGGCATAGAGGACTGACCAGGGCTGGAGGCCTTGGACACAGCCAGGGGCTGTCGCAAAAGAGGCCTGGCTTCACCCGCCAGCCAGCCTCATCTGTCTGTCCCTCCCTGCAGCCTCCAGGGACTTCCAGAACCCACAGACACTGGCTGAGATCCCAGCCTTCCCACGGCTACTGACTGATGGCTACTACATGACGCTGCCCCTGTCCCTGGACCAGCTGCCCTGCGAGGACCTTGTGGGTGGCAGCGGCACCCGTGTGCTGCGGGTGGGCAATGACCCCAACTGCCTAGCTGACCTCCACCAGCCATCCTACTGCAATGCCCCCCTCCCAGGCCTCGGACCTTATAGGTAGGTCACCCCATCTGGAGCCTGGGACAGGGGCTGAGCTGGCAGACAAGGGGTTTTGGGAACCAGGGTTGCCTGCCCTAGCCTCTCCCAGGCCCCATCTTCGCTGTAGGCTAAAGCAGGCCCTTCCCCTTTGCAAGCCTTGGTTTCTTCCTCTGGGGCTGGGGACCAGCAATGATTACATCTAGGGTCAAGCAGAATGCTGTCTTTCCAGGGGGCCCAAGAGAAAGAGGTGGTACCACAGAGCTGATGGGGGTGGGGTGGATCTGCAGGGCTGTAGTCATGAGCCCACTGTCCCTCCCGTGGGTAGATCTGGTGGGAAACAGCCCAGGGCTGAATTCAGGCCCAGTCAGTGGATATGAGGTAGGAAAGCAGGAGAGAAGACAACCACCCACTTTTACAGGTGAAGGGACTGAAGCATAGGGTGCCAAGTGGCTTGGTGAGGTCAGGGTAGAGACGGGGTGGGAAAGCGGTGTCCAGACCAGGGCTTCCTGGGCCATAGGACGAGGCTAGGTATCCTCAGAAAGAAGAAGTCCAGCTGGGAGAACCGGGCAGGGTCACAGGGAAGGTGGGTGTGGTGTGGGCTGGGCCACCGCCTCCCTCTGCCCTTTCACCCAGCCCAGCCAGGTCCCCTCCCCCCTCACTCAGGCCCATCCTCTGGCTAGGTTCCATCCCTAGCAGCCACCAGAGCCAGCTTCCCTCAGTGCCAGCCTGCCTGGGTCCCTCAATGCTCAGAAAACTTCCAGAGCTCTGTAGTCCCTGCACCTGAGCCCTGAGCTCCTCCACACAGCCCTTGGTGCGCTCGGTGCCAGCCTGCCCCCTCCCGGAGAACCTGGGCTCTGAGTGTGCCCTGAACACACTCCTCCGTCCTTAGGCCTTCACCCGGGTTGCTCGCCCCTCATGAGGGGACTTCTATGGCCTCAGAGACTCCACTGGGCCAACAGTTCTCTGAGAGGCCTCTGGCCCTCAGCCCATGCACCCCACTGAGGCACCCTGAGGCACCTATATGTGATATTTAGTAACTGGGGCCCCTAAACCTGTTAGAGTGTCTGGAGAGTAATGGTTCTGATGGACTGGGGCTGATGACAAGTCATCATGGCCAGAGAGTTCTCAGAGAATTCTCAGAGGAGGGCCAGGCCATGGCTGGTCCTGATGTACCCTCCCCTCCCCTATACCCGGGAAAAGCCCACAGCATGGCCCAGAACAGCTGCCTGGGGTCTGGCTGCAGTGGGCACCCTGCCCAGTACAGTTGAGGCTCTGAGGCTCACTCCTTCTCCTCTCCCCAGGGTGAAGTTCCTCCTGGTGGACGCCAGGGGCTCACCCCGGGCCCAGACCAGGTGGTCTGAACCCATCACTCTCCACCAAGGTAACACTGGGGAGGGGGTGTTCTGGCTTCAGTCTGCTTGACACCCTCTGCGCAATGGTCATGCTCAGCCAACCCCTCCCCCTGCTGCCATGGGACTGGGGACCTGGCAGCAGTCTTCAAGTCCAGCCCACCCCCCACAGGCACCAGCTCTGTCCATCCCCAAATGTTTGCCAACTTTCGGGTGCCCAGGTCCCAGCTCAGTCAGACTTGGGCAGAAACAGCCTTCCCCTCCTGCAGGGAGCCAGCCCCGGGCCCAGCAGTGCTGGGTGGAAAAGGGCCAGGGCAAGAAGGAGGCCAGGGTCAGTCAGGGTCACGGGTTCTGGGAGGCTTCCCTCAGCAGGGCCCCAAGAAGCCAGCATGAGTCACCAGGCTGAGGAAACTGCACGTGTGAAGGCCAGAGTGTCCAGGGTGGGGGATGCCTGGGAGATGGGCTGCAGAGGCCGGGGGTGGGGGTAGAGGCTTGGTCTCTAAAGTGCTTGAATGCCAGGCTTCAGGGAGCAGGGCAGCCACATGGTCAGCACCAGTCTGCCCGCCATGGGTGAACACATTGGTGGAAACAGCCTAGAATGTGAGAACAAAGCAGAGGCTGGAGCGATGGGTGGTCCAGCCTGGCAGGGCACAGATGTCTGTCTGAGATGGACAGGTGGATGGGGCTCAGGAGGCTGTCTGGGGACAGGAGGTAGCCAGGCTTTGGGTGTGAGCATGGGTCCAGGAGCAGCCTCTGAGCAGCTGCTGTATGTGCAGGGAAGTCCCCAGGCTCCATCGACACGTGGCCAGGGCGGCGAAGTGGTGACATGATCGTCATAACCTCCATCCTCTCGTCTCTGGCTGGCCTCCTGCTCTTGGCCTTCCTGGCAGCCTCCACTGTGCGCTTGTGAGTGGTGACACCCCGAGAGCCCCTTCCCCACACGAAGCCCCTTCCCTCTCCCTGGCCCCAGCACCTGGAAGGCATCCCTGACCCTGCAGTTTTGAACTGGGAGGTGTCCCTGGGAGGGCTGTGCAGGGAATTTCCACCCTGAGTGTCTCTCCCCTGGGAGGTCAGGAAGGTGGTTCAGCAGCTCCTCTGACCACAGGTTCAGAGAAGGAGCCACCTTGCTCTGCCTCTGTCCCTCAGGGTGTCCTTTGCCTGGGCCCTTATCCTCCTGGGCCTTGTTTCCTCTCCAGTGAGCTCTCTGTCATCTCAGTGAACTGACAACAGGTAGTCAGGGTGACCACCTGGAGGAGGCAGGCCTCCAGCTGGCTCTAGATGGGAGAAAAGGGAGATCAGAGGCTGCAGGGGGAGGGATCTGGGAGTGAGGCGGGCACCCTGACAAAGTAGCAGTCTGCGCCGTCTGGCAGGGACACAGCTCTTTCTTCTCTCTTTGTCTAGCTCCAGCCTGTGGTGGCCTGAGGAGATCCCAGAGCAGCTGCGGATTGGCTCCTTTATGGGCAAGCGCTACATGACTCACCACATCCCACCCAGTGAGGCCGCCACCCTACCCGTGGGCTGTGAGGCTAGCCTGGACCCCCTCCCCAGTTTCAGCCCCTAGCCTGGCCCTTGTGGCTGGGGCTAGGGAAGTGGGGGGGGAAAGGGGGTTTGTGAGGGCAAAATGCTCCTTCCCAGTCCCTACACCTACATGCCCCTTCCCCCATCACACTCCCCGCTCTGCCTGAAATCCCACCACCAGCAGCCCTGACTGCCTTTCCCATCTCCTGCTCTCTCCAGACAACTGAAGTGGCATGCAAGGGAGTTTGGGGGAGGACCGTGGTCAGGCTGGGCATCCAGTCCCCATCTCCATCCCTACCTCTGTCCCACCTGCCCTCCTGCCAGTGGGGCTGGAGGTAATGGGTGAAGAGCCAACCTGACCAGTTTCCAAGCCCCAGGAGGAGGACCTCAGAGGGCCTTGCTCTGTCCTGTGAAGGGAGCTGAGTTGGGCCCATCATGGGGTGTATGAGACCTGAGCCTCCCTCTGTCTCTCTGTCCCTCTGTCCCACCTGCCAGTGGCTGGGGCTGCAGTGAAGGCTTCAGAGGCACTGGCCTCTCCTGTGGGTGGCTGGAAGGTCAGATAGAGTGTAGACACATATTATGACCATCCGGCCCCACTTCTGCCCCCTTGCATACACAGAAGGCTCATGCACTTATCCGCTCACTAGCACTCCACAAACATTTGTTGAGTATCTGCTGCCACACACAGTGTTAGACATGGGGCCTCAGGTAAATCTTGGGGAGCTCACTGACTGCTCTGGATCTCAGATGACCACGTATCTAGATATGACCTGTTACTGTTTGGGGGGCTGTCACACTCTCAGATTGTCACCTACCCTCAGGCTCACACTCCTTCAGACAATCACCCCAATGGACTCTCTGGGGTCCATGACCACCTATCACGGGGGAGTACAGGCTTCATTCCCCCAGTGTCCATCTGCCCACAAGGGCGGTGGTACCCACTGTAGTCACATGAGGGCGCCGGTGCACCTCAGCTGTAGCCGCAAGCCCAGCGCATGCGCATTCCTATTCACAGACAAGCAGGGAGCTGTTGGCGGCCCGCGGGCTCCGGCCAGGTGACTTATTGCAAAGAGCCGCCGCCACTCAGTGGGGTCTCTCGAGGTCAGGGCTCCATACCCAACCTCGGCCAGGCCAGAGGGATAACCAATCACGCTCCCGCTTGAGGACCTACTGTGTGCCTTCCAATCCGCACAGCAGCCACCGTTTTCTAGATAAACAGGCTCAAGTGATTTGCGCTCTGTGCTCTGTCCACTGCCGTCCCCACTCTATTACCCATCACTGGCCTGACAACAGCTCCCAGCACGCAGCGCACCCCCCATCCCACCCCCTCTTTCGAGGTGAATAAATGCGGTCTGGCTTTTCCATCTGAGTGGTGCCGGTGCTGGTTTTCAAAGAGGAGCATTTACACATGGGCCCAGCCTGGCCTTGCTCTGTCCAGCTCCAGCCCCAGAGCTGCCCTGAGCCTGTCCCCTTGATTGCTAGCCCTAATTGTACTTTGGGGTGCCCCCGTCTCCTGACCAGTCACAGGGAAACCCATAATAGTAGGGACAGGAAGCCTGCTACTAATGCAGCTTATGTGGGTTTAGTGCTTCCTCCTAGGCAAACACTTCAGC